AACTACAGGAAAATATCCCTGATGACCATAGATGCCAAAATCCTGAACAAAATACTAGCAAATCGGATACAGCAATACATCAAAGAAATTATTCACCATGACAAATGGGATTCATCCCAGGGATGAAAAGCTGGTACAACACTTGCAAATCAATACATGTGATACACCACTTAAATAAAATGAAGACTAAAAACCACATAATCATATCAATAGACACTGAAAAAGCATTTGACAAAATCCAGCATCCAATTCTGATAAAAACTCTCACCAGTGTGGGAATAGAGAGATCATATCTCAACATAATAAAGGCCATATATGAAAGACCTACAGCCAATATCATACTCCATGGGCAGAAACTAAAATCATTTCCTTTAAGAACAGAAACAAGCCCTGGCCGGTTTGGCTCAGCGGTTAGAGCGTAGGTCTGCTGTCTTGAGAGACCCGGGTTCGGTTCGCGCTAAGGGCGCGTACCTTGGTTGCAGTTTGTCCCCGGCCCTGGTCGGTCATGCGGGTGGAAGCCACTCGATGTGTTCCTTTCACATCGATGTTTCTCTCTCTCTCTGTTCCTCTCTCTCCCTTGCACTCTATCTGGACAAAAATTGGAAAAATGTCCTCGGGTGAGGATAAAAAAAAAAAAAAAAAAAAAAGAACAGAAACAAGACAAGGATGCCCACTTTTACCACTCTTATTGAACATAGTACTGGAAGTCTTAGCCACAGCAATCAGACATGAAGAAAAAATAAAAGGGATCCAAGTCAGAAAGGAGGAAGTGAAACTACCATTATTCACAGATGACATGATACTATAAATAGAAAACCCCAAGGACTCAATAAAAAATTTACTAGACTCAATAAATGAATTTGGCAAAGTAGCAGGATACAAAATTAATGTCACAAAATTGATGGCATTCTTATACACCAAAACAAACTCACAGAACCATGGCGGGTTTGCTCAGTGGTTAGAGCATTGGCCTGCGGTCCAGAGAGACCTGGGTTCGGATCCCGCTAAGGGCATGTACTTCCGTTGTATTTGTCCCTGGTCCTGGTTGGGTCGTGTGGGTGGCAGCCACTCTATGTGTCACTTTCATGTTTATGTCTCTCTTTCTCTCTCTCTCTTTCTCTCTCTCCCTCCCACTCTGTATAAACAAAAAATGAAAAAATCTTCTTGGGTGAGGATAATATATATATGAACTCACAGACAGAGAAACTAAAAAAAAATCCCATTTACCATTGTGGCAAAAACATCAAGATACCTAGGATTAAAGCTAACCAAAGACATAAAGGACCTATTTGCAGAAAACTACAGGTCATTGAAAAAAGAAATAGAGGAAGATATAAAAAAGTGGAAGCACATACCTTGTTCATGAATTGAAAGAATTAACATCGTTAAAATATCCATACTACCCAAAGCAATCTATAGATTCAATGCAATCCCCATCAAAATATCAATGACATACTTCACAGAACTAAAACAAATACTTCAAAAGTTTATGTAGAACTAAAAAGACTTCGAATAGCCACAGCAATCATGAAAAAGAAGAAGTTAGAGGGATCACATTACAAAATTTCAGTTTATACTACAAAGCCACTGTAATCAAAACAGCCTGGTACTGGCACAAGAACAGGCATATAGACCAGTGGAACAGAACAGAGAACCTAGAAATGGACCTAATACATTATCCTCAATTAATATTTGACAAAGGTGGCAAGAGCATACAGTGGAGTAAAGACATCCTCTTTAATAAATGTTATTGGCAAAATTGGACAGCTACATGCAAAAAAATGAAACTAGACCATCAACTTACACCATACACAAAAATAAATTCAAAATGGATAAAAGACTTAAATGTGACTCATGAATCCATAAAAATTCTAGAAGAAAATGTAGGCAACACATTATCAGACATAATGCACAGCAGAATTTTCACTGATACATCACTTAAGGCAACAGAAACAAAGGAGAAAATGAACACTTGGGACTACATCAAACTCAAAAGCTTCGGCACAGCAAAAGATACAATCATCAAAATGGAAAGGCAACCCACTGTATGGGAGAGCATTGCCAATAATAAGGGGTTAATTTCCAATATATAGAGTGCTCATACAACTCAGCAAAAGGAAGACAAAGAACCCAATTAAAAAATGGGCAGAGGAACTAGACACTTCTCCAAACAGGACATACAAATGACTAAGAGACATATGAAGAAATGCTCAACATCACTAATCATCAGAGAAATGCAAATTAAAACAACAATTAGGTATCACCTCACACCTGTCAGAATGGCCACCATCAACAAATCATCAAACAACAAGTGTTGGGGAGGGTGTGGAGAAAAGGGGACTCTAGTACACTGCTGGTGGGAATGCAGGCCAGTGGGAGTGCAGTCACTATGGAAAACATTAATGCTAAACTTGATAAATGACCACATGGACAATATTTCTAGTTAAATGAAAAGTAGTTGAAGTTCCCATCCATGTTCATTATGTTTTATATGAAGAGGAAGGGAATCCAGTACAGAGGATTTTATAGCTGCCTAATGTGCTTTCTTTAGTTCCTTGTCTACCAGGGAACTCAGATGTGACCTATATGTATGATTCAGCAGTCATTCTTTGAACAAATTTAATTTTATGGCTTTTCTACCTTCCTTTCAGTGCATAATGTTTATTTTGTTTTCCTATTTTTTTATTCATCTTATTCTCTCTACTTCCTTTATTATATAATTCTTTTGAATTTTTTTAAGACAGAGAGTACAAATTGCATTTAAAGAACGTTTAACCCTTTCTTAAAAATCTCTTTCATATGCATTATTTATTTTTCCCCCCAAACCTGCAAAATCCCCAAGTGTCTTCTGACTCTTCCAATGGATAGGTAATGTTTCTTCTAGTCATGGAATTAAACATATTTCACCATTTTCTGGTTCTCTGCAGACTGCTAACTTACCCACCAGCACTGCGAAGTGCTGAGTTAGTCATGTGGGGATCACAGCACCTACCTGTCTGGTGAAAAAAGCTGAGCTGTAGTTCCAGTGTGTATCTCACTGAGGCAGCATATCTTTAAAGGGCAGCTTTGTTGATTTGGAAGGTGACATGCAGAGAAATGCTCATTTTTGCTCCAAGTTCCATTCTGTGCTCAGTTTATCACATTCTTCTACTCTCGGGAAACCCCAGGGGCAGCCTGTAAGTGCCCGGAGGACAGGGAACACTGCTGCTTGTTACCCATATGCCCACAGTCGACTATAGTCTCTGGTCCCCAGTAAATAATCCATAAATATATGCTGAAAGGATGTGTGAATTGGGCAAATCATTTGCTTTCTTTGAGCCTTGATTTCAACAAAATAGGGAGAGTTGCTCAAATGAGATTCAAGGGTATGGAAATGCCTGCAATGTATGCAGCACCAGAAGAACACATGACCAAGACTGTTTGTTATTCATGGTCAAGAAATAACCAACAACCAAAGATGTCCAGTAAGACCCCTTCACCCTGCCAAATTGCATCTTCACTGACTCAGGATCATCTTCTGTTTTAAATATGCCAAAATATTTACTCAGTGGAAATACAATTGTGCTGATCTGAAGAGGTGAAAAAGGAGAAATCCTGGATGGCCTCAAGTTGCCTCTAAAGTTTCTTTTAGCCCATGTATCTGCACTAAAGAGGGATGTTTAAGTCAAGAGTCCAGTGAAGAAAAGGCCAAATGTCACCATGGACCTTTTGAACATATCGAAATTCAAAAGCAGTCCTTGAGGGATGTACCTGCTTCCACATGTCGCATCCATGGGCCATCCTCATGGAGGGTCAGGGTCATCCTCTAACCCTCCTCAATGGGGGAGACCAAACTTCAGGGCCAGACCCCTCCACTGCCCCTACACCCAGCTGTGTCTCTGGGTGAGAAATTAGCTATTGTAATTCTCTACCAGGCACGGAAATAATTCTGGAAAACTGGCATTGCACTGGTGCCAACATTTTGGGAAAACACATAGCAATGCTGTCCAAAAATGGGGGACAAGTACATTGCATTAATGTCCAAAATTTTCCTATAGCAATATATTGTGTTTTAAAGGCAGAACATAACCTAAAAATATAAATCACATTTTATTATTTTTTTCAACCTATTTTATTTTAATATCTGACGTTGGAAGTCATGAAATTGTTCTCTACTTAAACATGACTAAATCTTGGATTATGGTGATTACCTGCTACATTGTTCTAGACACAGCCATCTCTGCACCCTGTGAAGTTAACATGGACTGAAAGACTAGGGTCCCAGTGTATCCTGAGATCTTTTGAAGACAAGTGCTAAAATGAGTCTTTGGCACACTGCACCCCATCTTTTAAACACTGAGAAAATTATTCCCCTCATGCATTGGATCTAGTGCTAAGGTGTGTATCGTGAGTGAAAACAAAGAAAAGGGTTTAGTATAACATTTTTCTTCCCTGGGTTGGAGTCCTTAGTGATCAGAAAAACAGGAAGGGGTTGAGGCCTCATTTAAAGAAGGGAAATACCAAGGAAGTGTGGGCAGTGTGCTGGGAGGGGTTATGTAGAAGGAGGCCACTCCTGGCCTAGGGAACAACCAGGCCTAGGAGAGCAGCAGGCTGGGGTAGGGTGAGGAGGCCTGGCCTGGGGACAGAGGGAGGGACAGCCACTTTTATTATTATTTTCCAAGGATAATTTACAGTCCCCATTGTTGGCTTTTCCTCTGGATAATTAGGCACCCAAAGGGAGTTCATACATCTTGTCATTGGTTTTACTTTTCCTGGCATGTCAGCTGTCAGCTGCATCGATAGATGTTCTGTCTGCAAATGCCAGGAAGTTTTGCAATACTAGTGTGCATTCATCTCACCCAGAGCTGACAGGGTCCCTGGAAAGCAGCTTTAATTTGAAAAGGCTGGATATACTTTGGAGCTGTTTGCAGCAGATGAGGAAAAGAGTATCTCTTTGCATATCCCCCCCCCCCCCCCCGCAGCAGGTTCATTATGGAATTTAAAGCAGAGAGGAGACTTACCTCCTCAGCCTAGACAGCATGACATTTGAAGGTAGCTGGAGTACAGATGCCTTTGCCTAGGAGGAAAAATAAATTAGTCAAATAATTGAATAAAACTGAATTTTAATTATCTTGAGATAGATATGGGTGCTTAATAGGTGAATAAACAATGGATTGAATGTATCTACATGTTGTAATGAATACTCCAAGCTGTTTTCTAAACACTTTTTTTTATTGATTTTTAGAGAGAGAAGAATGGAGAGGGAGAGAGAGAGACAGAAACATGAATGATAGAGAACATCAATTGGCCACCTCTTGGATGCCCCCATTGGGGTTTGGGCCCACAACCTGAGCATGTGCCCTGACTGGGAATTGAACCAGTGACCTCTTGATGCATGGGTCGATGCTCAACCACTGAGCCACACTGGCCAGGCTCAGCTGTTTTCTTAAAAGTAAATTTCTGAGCTACATTTCTATATTGTTTGTCTGTTTGTATAAATGGGTGCTTCATATGGCCCAGTGAAATAAGCACAGTACCTCCCAAAAAAGTACAAAAAGTTTATTTCAATTTTTACTCAAGTGTCTAGAAGAATTCCAAAGGGGATTCAATTTAAAAACCAGGGCAGCACTCCTATAAATCTGATCTGATTCTCTTGTGTCTCCAGAATTCTGTAACCTGTCACCTTAAATGGCAAAATTCTGATTACTGTCCTATTTTAATCCCTTGTTTGCCTCTATCAGCATTTTTCTTTGGCTGAGAAGTTGTCTCTCCTCTTTGTCTATTACCTAATTTTTTCAAAACAGAGGAAGGCTCAGATGCTGATGCAAGAAGCAAGTCTCTCCTTCCCTTCCTGTCTTCCTGCTCACCCAAGTTTATCTTTCTCTGTCATCTCCACAGTCTCTGCATCCCAAACCAGACCACCCAACACAGAGCCCTCCTGGGGAGCAAGCAAGAGATGAGGCTGAGTAACATTCAAAAGTCTCCTTCTGAGGCAACGCCTTCGGAAAAGAAGAGCAGGAGGATGCAATTTAGAAATGTAATTTTTTATGTAAATAAATCTTGTTGCCATAGCACTTCCTTGGCAAGCTCTTTAGATTTCTGCAAAGAAAAGTCAGTGCTCACGCGTACCAACCCAGGTGTCTTCCACTCACCGGCAGACCCTTCCCGCACAGAGTCTCCTTTTCTGGGGCTGTGTCATCCTCGAGGACCTCCCTGAGACACTGAGAGCTATACGATCCTGAGCTTTCACCGTGCATTTTCACAGGTCTCAGGGTTGTGGGATGGGACACTCCAGGGTCTTTGCCTGTGGAAATTCATGGAGGACCCTGTGCCACTAAATAAGTGTCATCAGGCTGTTAGGCTGCCTTTGTGTCACCCCTGCCTGTGCCACCCCTGCCTGAAGGCACCTTAGCAGATATGGGAGAAGAAATGGTTGAGGGAAAGTGAATGAGGTGAGTATAGAGACATAGGTGCCTTCTCTAGTTCCTGATACCCTATGCTGAAGCAAGGGACCCTCCACAGCCCCGAGCCTGGTATCTGACAAAACAGAGACTTACATTGTTTTCAGGTTACAGGGATTCCAACAGAGGGTGAATATGCTATGACCGAGCAGTTGGAAGTCTTGAGCAATACTGGCATGTGAGTACGAGCACAGGAAATGTCTGTGCAAACATGCAACATTAGGGCAGATGTTTGCCTTTGGCGGACCTAGCCTTCCTTAACCCCAGGCTGAGATGATGAAACCCAGCTGTCCCTCCACATTTTCTCTCACACAGGCAGTTCCCTTAATAAAAGTTGTGCAAATTTAACCCTATCTTGGCTCACCCATGTTACCCTGGGGACCCTGCACTGGGCTGGCATATAGCAGGAGCCCAACAGATAAATAAGGGCCTGAGTAATCCTGAGATATCCCTCCAACATAGAATACCCTTCCTCAAGTAATTCACACCCAATGTGTAGAAAGCAGAGTAACATGCGTGATGTCACCAGAAAAGAGTTCCAGAGATGGTAATAATTGAGTGAAAGGAGTCTCCCTTGACTGAAATGACTGCAGGAGTGTGGAGTGGATTAAAGAGGTGGCTTCACAGCAGAAAAAGGTCTTAAGGTAGGCTTGAAAGGTGGACACATTGCTCTGCAGGGCGAGTGAAGCCAGGACATTTGCTAAAGGGACAGCTGGAACAGAGGGTTAATTTTGGGACAAGTGAGGTCAAGCCCTGGCATTTTGCCTTCAAATGAAAGAGGGTTTCATTGACCAGCCTCCCAACCTCTGAGGTGGTAGAATCCCAAGTTATTCTCTCAACGCACCTTTTTTGTTTTTTATTATATTCATCATATTTGTAATGAATATCTGGGCACCCCCAGATAGCATGGTACATGAAAGATAGGCCTGAACATTTTGATTCACTCAGTGCCTAACTCTGTGGCTGGAATGTCATAGGTACTCAACAGTATTTGTTAACTAACATGTGGTCACCTGGGCTACTGCGTCTCCTTCCCCCATGTCATGGCAAACATGGAGAATAGATTGGGGTCTCTCCTTGAGCCTCAGATTGCTCCTGGCCTCTGCCACCCACAGACAGATGTGTAATCCAGGTGGACCTTGGTCCATTCTTGGGACAGAGGGGCTTGGTCAGGGTCCAGGACTAATACCAGAAGTAGTGCTGGAGAGGCATTTTGTCACCCAGCTCAGAGGAGCCCTACTTGTGCAACAGGGTACAGAGCCACTGATGAAAAATTCCCTTCAGGACACTGTCCCTCTGAAAGCTCCTGACAGGCCCCTCCTTTACTCTGCTAGGACAGCCTGGGAAGTATGAGACTAGAACAACAAAGGCCCTGAGAAACTGCTTCACTTACTTCCTGACTCCCAGAGGTAGGGGACTGTGCCCCATGCTGGCTAGACTTCATGGAGTCCTGGGAAATCACCTGGTAAGAATCTGGAGACTTCTGTAGGAAGAAGGCAAGGAGGGAGGATCTTCTCTCTTCCAGAAGGTGAGGAAGGCCTTGGAGGAGGAGGAAGAGGAGGGGCAGCATTAGCTGATCATGTAGAACCCAGGTATTCCCCTGTGAGAGAATCAGAGTGGGCATCAGAAGGCCAGCAAGTGTCCAGCCTGTGGTGGCTGCACTGCCAGGTATGGCTTGTTTCCTCTGCAGCAAGGCTTTGAAATACAAATGGAATCACAGTGCACATGCTTTGTCTTCTCCCTTTGGAATCACCTCTGTGCCCATTGACAAGCCTCATATCCTTTATGGCCAAGCATTGTTACACCCCAGTTTGACATGCAATTATATATTTGACAGTTTTACAAAAGTAGACCTAACATTCAAAGACAAAGGCTGAGTCCAAGGAGGACATCCCAGAGAAGGAGCCACAGATCTGATGGCGGGCCCCAAGAGGAGCTCCAGAAGCTCACCATACTCCAGGCCAGCAGCCCAAAGGATGCTATATAAAGACATGTGAGAGCCCTGTGGGCAATAGGAGGTGTCCAAAATAAAATGCTTGGAAATGGGAGACCTGACATATCCAGATAGAAGAATCCATTCTTTATTCAACACATATTTATTGAGCATCTACCATTAGCTGGGTTTCATGCAAAGTACAGTGGTAGACAAACAGATACTGTGTCAGCTTTCTCAGAATGGGATGCCAGCCAAGGGGATGGTGCTGGTCACAAAGCCAGATATGTGTTTTTGAAAGCATGCATACACATGCACACACATACATGTATATGCATGCACACACACATATACAGTGAGAAAAGCTGTGAGGCCCATGTTGAGGAGTGCCTCCTATGAGTGACTGCAGGAGTGGTGGTCAGGGAATGCTTCTTGAAGGAGGTTGTGCTTCACTAAAATCTGAAGAAAAAATGGTTTTGGGGGTGGAAAGGAGTTTTGAGAAGGGAGGTTAGCATGTGCAAATCTGTGAATTGGACAAGGCTAGCACAGTTGAGAAACTGAAAGATGAGGTTACTATAGCTATAGGAGAAAGAAAGTGGACCAGAGAGAGGCTATGAGGGAGGCCAGAGCCTGGCGGCATTCTCATCAGTTTTGTCTTTGTCCTAAAAACAAGGAGAGAACTTTGAAGTTTATTGAGCTTGGGGGGAGAAGGTATGTAAATGATGGTGACATTGTTAGGCAGGAGGAGCAAAGCAGGAAATCCAAAGAGGAAGGCAGTTAGACTTGAGAAACAATAGAGAAGTGATGTGAACAGGACCTAGGGATATGTTGGTGACCTAGAAAAGCCATCTCAGTTCTTTCTCTCTGCAAAGCCGTGAGTCACAGCCTGTCTGCCCATCAACCTTGTCTGTATCACCTGGCAAACTTTACAAAATGCAAATGCTTGGGTCTCACCCCTCAGAGACTCTGATTTCTTGGGTCTGGGGTGTAGCTAGGACATCTAGATTTAATCCAGAAGATTTGGATGAGTAACAAGGTCTGAGAGCACTGCCTGAAGAATACTAAAATTTCCTCTAACTTGGGTTGGGCACCTGGAGGATGAGTGGTGGCAGCCAGTTGACATGCAGGCTGCAGGAGCAAGAACTCAAGCAAATTACAGTCTACATCACCTCCAGAAACCACAAGGTCTAGTCATCCAAAAAATGCATTTGACAGGACTCCTTTTTCCTTCCTCCTGCTCTCTGAAGCCTGTCTGGTGGCAGAATAGTAAAAACGGGAGGTAAAGAAAACTCAAACTAGTCAATTGGCTCCTCCCAGAGCTCTAGCTGGCTCTCAACCTCAAACATGTTGAGTTTCTGCCTATGAGCTGGTGGCTGATGTCCCAGCATTGGGACTTACAGAAATGTCTCCTTTGCAGATTGTCCATGTCCCCTCCTAGGCGGCGGCTGAAGAACTAACCCTGCTAGTTCTGTCTTTTTAGGACATTTTCCAAGGAAAAGCTGTCAGCTGTGAGAATGAGAGCACACATTCCTGAAATATCTGATAAACAAATATTATTTCTTTATCCATCCTAATTGGCCAAATGTCTGTGTGGCTATGGCTCATGATTTTTCCTTTACTCTGGAATAGAAATGTGGTCCATCCCAGCCTCCATCATTCTCTCTCCTTCCTTCTTCCTCTCTCCTTGCTTCTCTGTCTTCTTCCTCCACTGTTTTTTTTTCATTTTTATTCCCTATTCCACCTCTGTTCCAGTCCTTTCCTCTGTGTCTCTTCTCACTATAATGCTTAGCTTCAAAGAGTAGCTTTTAAAAATTGCTTTCTAATTTAATTTGCAGCACTCTGTGTCTTTGAGGAAAAAGAGATATGAAATTTCTCACCAGTAAAAACCTGATGTGACCCTTCCCAGTGAGGAGAAAATGACTTTGATGATGAAGGGCTGGGGTGCTTGTCCCATGTGAAATGTTACGGGGTGTTAGGGCATTGCTGGGGTGTGCTCGCATATTGTTCCAGTAGCTCCTATCATGGTGGTGATTCTGGAGGGCCTCTGCTCATTGGTTGTGAAACCAGAGTTTGTTGGGACTAGGCAATAGCCAGCCTTCTCCAGCCCACAACAAACAATGCTAAAGCTGTGGGCTGGAAGTTGATTGCTCAGGAAAACTGGCATTTGCTTGGCGTGCTTATTTCCTAAACATGAAGAAGTCCGCCTTTAATATGCTTTAGAACATCTGAATACTGCACTTGACTTTTCAAGTGAACTTAAGTTCCTAAACTTCAACAGTGTGGAACATTTTACTCATTACCTAAGGGTGTCAGACAATGGACTTGAGTGCAGTACTCGTGTCAATGTGATTATGTTTTACTTCTGGATGCATAAATGCTTTGAGAATCAGCAACTAACATGCATCCAGGTGGTAATACCCTCCATGTGCCAGAGCAGCACTATGGTGGGTGCTAAGAATGGACACACAAAGATGATAAGAAAAGTCTTGATGCTCATGGGCCTTACATTCTAACCTACTGAGGACAAGCAAGCTAACAATTAAACAGGGAACAGTTGGGCTCTAGCACTTATATCACATGGAGACTGAGGTGGGCACCTTCTGGCCAGAATGGCTAGGGAAAGAGTGACCTCTGACACAGTGTGAGGGTGGAGCCAGCTGTGCTGAACAGGGCTTTCTTCATGGGAAGGCAAGGAGTCCAATGAGCCTGAAAGCTGGTGAGACTAATGTGCAGTAAGAACAGAAGGAAGGTTGGTAAGTCCAGTGGAGCAGTACCAAGGACTGCAGTGGGAAAGCCTGTGGAGAATGGAGCAGAGACCAGGTCATGGCACCCCTCATAGGATTTGGTTATATGTCAGTGTGCTGACAAGTCACAATCAAGTAAGTAATGGCAGAACTTGAGTTAATGTTGTAAAATGGCCACTCTAGTATCTCCGTGGAGAATAGGACACACATCTGTGAATTTACTTATTGTTCCTTTAAAATAAAATGCCATCACCCTGGTTGGTGTGGCTCAGTTGATTGAGCATCATCCTGTGCACCGAAAAGTTGCCAATGCGATTCCCAGTGAGGGTATATACTCATGCTGTGGGTTAGATCATCAATCGGGGTCTATACAGGAAGCAACCAATGTTTATCTCTCTATCCCTTCCTGTCTCTCTAAAATCAATAACAACATATTCTGAAGTGAGGATTTAAAAAAAAAGAAAGTCATCTCTTTTAG